TGTGCCTATCTGGCCCGCGAGCTGCATGATCGGACAATGCGTGGAGAGTGGCTACGTCCCCCACGTCGCGATCTGGCCATGCAGAACGTAGGCGCTCCCTTTCCTGATCTCCTTTCTAAGTCCTTGCAATTCCGTGTTCTTCGTGCATGCATGTACGCTATAAATTCCGGCTGCGCGATTAGATAGCTTTCTTAACCAGTGGTTGGAAGCTCGGGGAGCGCGATCAGTGAGGGTCGGCTCACGAGCGAAGTAAGAGGTGAGTTGAAGTGGGAGTCGGGCGACCCGACGAAGTGGTGCCAAACGCGCGGGGTTGACGCGCGCCACGACGGACTGTGGGCGCGGGCGAACCTGACTGGTGCGGGAGGACTAAGCGGGGTGACGACTTCGTGGGTTGGTGCGCGACGACGGACTGTCCGCATCGGGGAGAGAAAGAGAAAGGGAGAGCTGAGGTTGATGGACATGGATTTGCAATTTTTCTTGTCTCCTCCTTCATCTTGTATATAAGTTTTGGGCTCTACATTCGGCGATTCGCCTTTATTTTTCGATATCTTGTCTCGAGTTTTGCCCTACCTTTGCATACGAGTTTTTGGATTTCGACTTCTTTTGCTTTCGGCATCTTTGTCTCGGCATCTGTTTGCTTATAATTGGTCGTGATCTCTCCTACTGGGTGTTTTTGCATGAATGGATGTTGCTTTGCGAAGAATTAATGATATGTTTGTCATTTTCCCTCTCGCTTCTCTCCCCTTTTTGCTCATACCGAACGACGAATGTGAGGGAGTTGCCCGTCACGTACATGAGTGTGGAATGGCTGTAGATCAGGGATTTGCTGAATGATGGAATGTGCCACACGACGATTTTGCATGTAAAATTAGGACTTTGCCCTTTTCGTGTTTAACGTTTTTGCCTGGTCATCGTCTTAGTACTTGATCTGCTGACGTCACGATATAGGCTCTGATGTTGATGCGAGGACTATCCGACTACGCGCGGACACCTCGTGGGGACACGTGTAAGCGCAACCCGATTGGCGCAGCCTACACGTATCCAGACGCGGCGACCGGGCGGACAGGGAATCTTCCTTCTTTCACRCACCCGGACTGGAGGGGATTTCTCGGCACCATATGGGAAATTTCCCCTTTCAGTCGGATACGCGCACAGGCTTCCCCTGCGCCGCGATGACAAGATGACGCGCATGGAGGCTTTAGAGTATTTCGAACCTTGGGTAAAAGAATATCTTAGGCAGCGGCGTCCGGAATTTCCCTGCCTGACCGAAAATCGATTATGCCCCCGAGAATTCCACTGTGCCGTAACCAGTGACCCCAGGTGTCCTGATTACCCAACTACGTATAACACGCAATACTTCATATCCCCCGACTTCGTCGTTATCACTACTAATTTCCCTCCCTTCCGTATCCTACTCCCGTAGCACCAACTCACGGTGGTGCCGTGGAATTCCATCGCCCCGTATTGGCCCCGCACGCCGTGCAGAAACTGCAGATGGCACCGTTACCACCGAGCCCCTGGGACTACGGAGGCTAACCATAACGCGCGGTGGCAGGCGCCACGTGTCCGTACCAGAAGGACCGATCCATAGGAATCGCAACCCCTCCCGTATGGGCCTCTCCTGAACCGCTGTTACCAAAACCGGCGGATTGGATGGCCCACCACGCATGCCATCTGCCTTTACCCGTCCACTAGCCTTATTGCACCTGTGCCCCTGAACCCTTGCCACCGGAGATGTCAGTTCTGACCTAGGACTCCACCCCCACTTTCCGAAAAATCCTTGGCACACCCCTTTTTCGCACTTCCAGGCCCACATCCAACTCCGGTCAGGAAGTCGCGCCGGGCGTGAGGTTAGGGCGTCATAGGTGTGTAGGGATGGGGTGAAATGGGTGAGAATGGTGAGAACCATGACAACGGCAACAGCATTGAAGGTGACAACAACAACAACAACAACAACAACAACAACAACCATGACGACGGCGGTAGAGGTGACTATGGTAGCAACGGGGCCGAGAGTGGTATTTTTGAATTCAAGATTGCTATCAACACGGCGGGAGTGAGGCCGCCGAAGGATGTGGAGGGCATTAGGGGTGGCAACAACATCAAACAAGACAGCAACAACATCAATTACAATAACAACAACAACAATAACGTCGATGGCGGTGGCGACGACCATGGGGGTAGTGGGGCAGAGAGTGGTGACTGGGCATCCAAAATCTTAATCAGCATTGTGGGAGAGATGCCGCAAGCAACAATAACAGCAATAACAACATCATCAGCGAAGTGGGGGGGAATTTGTAGATCGTTGGGGCTGGTGAGGTGGAGTTTGAGGTTGGTGCAACGTACCGTTTTCCCCCATCCCTGCCCGGTGTTTTTCATGATGAAACGGGTCGTTTCTTCTGGCACCTATGAATCCCCCTCGGCGGCGCCCATCCGTGGCCTAGGCTGCGACCCCGCGGCCTTTGAGGCCTCGTGGCGGCCAGTGGGAAGGGGGGTTCGGGATTCGGGAAGCGCCATGGGGCGGCGCATCCCCAGC